TGATGCAGCCTAAAGAACTTGAAATTGTTGTTTCTTTTCATCTAGTTTGGAATGTGGTTTCCTTATTGAAAAGTTGTTTACTTTATTTAATTATTATTTCATTGAAATACAATGCTTGATCGAACTAGATGGGTATACTCTTACTGAGCTGTCTAGCTTATGCTTTTAAAATCTCATCTCATTTCAAGTACAGATGAGTAAGCATTTGGGGTTGCATTTGGGAGTGAGAGGCACAACGATTTTAGAGTAGTTCTTTGGTTTAGTTTTAAGTTATTCTGGATTGTGGAATAATTAGAATTGAAGATCTATTTGCTATGACTCATTGCTATTAAATTTTATGTTGGATTTTATGAAGTGAGGATCAAGTGTTTTGGATTTGACCAACTTCTCGTACATGTTAATAAAGATGGAGTTTGTTATAGAATTTAATTTTATTGCATTTGGACACTAAAAGTTGTTTAGTTAAGGTAGCCTTACACATTTATGGGGTCATCCCTATAAATGTGTGGCGTTTGTTACGTCTCGACCTTGGGGTTGGGGCGTGACAAATTTTGTGGTATCAGAACTTAAGTTGAAATCTTTTGGGCCAAGTTTAGGGTTGTAAGCCTAGACACGTGGTGAGCAAGAGTGGGGTTCTTTATAGTAATGGGACATCAATGCATCATTAGCCTTGCATGTGTTTTCAGTAACTTGTTGATCATTTTGAATATAGATTATGTATTGGTACCCCTATTAGGGGTAAGTGACTAAACGAGTATATATGAGATGATACTTGTCTTTGAATTCTTCATCCTTGTTATCCATTACTTCATCGTCATCTTGGTTGTAGACTTGATTAGTGGAGCTTATGCTAATTAGAATTACCATTGGAAGATAGTGAATTTTTGATTTCTAATAAATGAGAATTTAGTTATTTGGTAATATTGAAAGTCCACTCCTGTAAAATTGTCTATATTGCAGCTTGGTTGAATATTAAGAATGATGTAGATTACTTGGAGACAGTTTTATACACAATATGAAAAGTTTCAATTTGACTTAAATAGAAAGTGAATTGAGAGCTTGTTAAGGGGGTCTTAATTCTTTAGCTTTTAATTAAGGTAATTCCTCCAAGCCTTGTTTCCTTTTGTGTGTGTATATATATATGCATAGAATTATATCATTGACTTCTCAACATTTCCATCAGGAATTGGAGTTGAATGCGAAGATTGGAGTTTTTCAATTACTTGAACTTTTCTAGGCTAAAGTGGATATGATTTTGATGAAATTGAAATGGGGTATTATTCTAATAGTGATTTTTGGGTTGATATTGGGAGACTAGTTGGAATCAGATGAAGATTTAAAGATGAAGATTTGGAGTCTATATTAGTTATTATTATTATTATTATTATTATTTTGAGTTAATTTGGATTTATTTACTATTCTAATGTTGTTAGAATGTGGAGTTGGTTAGTGAGATTTTTTATGATATCTGGAGAAAAAATTATTATATAGAATAATTTCTGCCTTCTGATATCAGTCTAAGATCATTTAATCAACTAGATTGGCTTATGAAGAGACGGATTTTTTTTTTTAATTTAATTGAGGGGTTGTGTTAGTGCTATGATTTTATGATATGAAATGTTTCCTTGGTGGATTTGCAAACAATTGAGTTGAGTTAGTTATAATTACATGGTTCGAACATCTTAGACATGGAATTGGAATGGTTTCT